AGGGAGGGACCTTCCGTGGGCTTTGGCTCCTGTCACATGGAGACTCTACCTCTTTGTGCAGCTGGCCTGTGGAAGAGCTAATGAGGTGAAGAAAATTCCGGGGAAATGATTGATTAAAACAAATCGTGGAAAATTTCAAGGGAACCTGGCTTTCTATAGAGCTGGGTGTTTTAAACATCCAAGTGGCCTTGGATATAAGCACTGTGTCTACTTTGTTAACTGAGAGTCTTGGGCTGAGAATCATGAGTTTCACTACCGACCTGAGGTCTTGTTATTTCAGCTCAATGAACCCTGTTTCCTGTAGTCACCTTTTATACCACATTAACGTAGTTTTCAGTGGTGAAAGGAACATAATATTACAGATGGGGGAAAAACTCTATACTCTCATCACCCCATGTCCCAACTACTTTAATTTTTATGGATTCCCTTTCAGCCTTCTGTCACCTGCATTTTCCACCATTGTAAGAACAAATGGCGTATCATTTTGTTTATTGCTTTTTTCACAAAGTGCGGTATCATTAATATCTCCTGTGTTGCTAGGGTATCTATCATTTTGACTCACTGCGTGAAGCCCACTGCATTTATGCTCTGTAATTTGTTGAACTATCCTTTTGTGTAGCATTAGAGTCATCAATATCTTTTCCCCCCTACCTTTTAAATAGTTTTATTAGGCACGTCCCTGGGAAATCATCCTGATGGGCCAACGCCATTAGCGAGCTCAGAGGGCACTGTGTGATCTGGAGACTCCATCATTCCGTTAAATTAGATAAATGATTTTTTGAGTGCCTTCCATCTGCGACGCTTTCTCTGTTATTATCTTTTGCAGGTCCCCGTTGAGGATTCCTGACCACGTGGGAAGACAATACGACGGCGACTGGGGAAAGGTCAGTGTGAATCTGGGCAAAGTCTCAATGACAAATTATTTTAAAATTGTAGAAGATTCAGCGTGAAAATTACTGTAGTGTCCCTGCTTCCTGTTTTCAGGATGTGCTAAGACGTGGAACTGGAACCTCGGTTGTTTGTTAGCGGGTGCGCCGGGAAAGCACCTGAAACCTCTGCCTGAGCGTTGGGGTTCTGACCCATTCCCAGTAGCCTTGCTCACGGCACTCATTTCATGGTTGGGATGGGAAGCTATGCCTCTCATCTGACAGTTTGGGATGATAAGGGTCTCACTAATGTGTGAGCTGTGGGAGAAACGGGGCCAATGGGAGGGGTGGGTTCCAGCCCCGCTCTGGCACCAGCCAGCTGTGTCCAGGGTTGTGCTGTCATCCGTGAAGTAAAGCCATGGACCAGAAGGTTCTGGAGGTTGCTCCTAGCACTAAATTTTGTGATGTAAGTGCCCTTCGGCCCTGTGTTGGTTTGTTAAGGCTGCCTAACAAAGTACTACAGACTGGGTGACTTAAACAACAGAAATTTATTTTCTCACCGTTCTGGAGACCAGACGCCCTAAATCGAGGTGTCGGCAGAGTTGGTTCCTTCTGAGGCTGTGATCTGTCCAGGCCCCTCTCCTTGGCTTGGAGGCGGCTGTCTTCTCCCTGTGTCTCTTCACATTGCTTTCCCTCTATGTGTGCCTCTGTCCACATTTCCTTTTTATACGGACACCAGTCGTACAGGATTAGAGCCCGCCCTAAGGATTTCACCTTAATTTGGTTACTTCTATAAAGAGTGTCTACAAATAAGATCACATGCTGAGGTACTGGGGGTTAAGACTCTAACATGTGAATTTTGTGGGGGGCACAATTTAACCCATAAACTGAATTTAACCTATGGAATCTGAATTAGGAAGCTTGGTTGCCTCCCTGTTAGGTTGAGATAATTCCTGTTAGCACAGAGAAGTGGCTTCCTCCCTTCCTGCCTCGTTCTCCCCCCACCCCGCTCTAGGGGAGAATCCTCCCCTGTCTCTTCCAGCTTCTGAGGCCCCCAGACATTCCTTGGCTGTGTCACTTCCATCTTTCCTCCGTCTTCAAATGGCCTTCTGCTCTGTGTCCTGTCTTCTCCCCTCTGTCTCTTAGAAGTCCATGTGTCAAAGGATTTAGAACCCATCTGGTTAATCCAGGGTGATCTCATCTTGAGATCTTTAATTACATCTGTAAAGACCCTTTCCCCAAATAAGGCCACAGGCACCAGGGGTTAGGATTTGAACATATCTTTTGGGGGCCACCATTCAGTGCACTACACAGGGCTTCTCAGATGACCTTGTGCAGCAGCCACACATTTCCAGCCCTGGTCTTGTCACCCAGTTCAGTCCGAGGGGGTCTGGAGAGCCTTGGGGTCTGCTCCTCTTTTTGACTATAGACCGTTGAGGGACCACCTCCCTACCTTCTCCTTTGCACTTGAGGGGGCTTCCCTCCCCACCACCCTGTCCTCTGTGGGCGCCTGGAGAGAGGAACAAAACTTTTTGAAATCCTGCCTCCTTCCATGTTCCCTGGGGCCTCTTCGGATCTTTGAAGGCCCTGCAGAGCTCCTGCTATTTTGAGATCTCTCCCCGTCGTGCACCAAGCATGTTGAACTGCTCCCTCATGCCATGTTGAACTTTCCCCCTCATAAAAATCATCAGGTTTTTATAATTTTGTTTTGGAAATTATCTGGCCCTAAGCGTGTTTCATTTATGATTAGCTGTGGTTTCTTGGCCATTGTTACGCATACTAAGGAGTTCTCTCGAAGTGAGGAAAGCTACGCTGCAGATTGTTTTCCGAACATAATTAAATTTTTATGAATACCAAAGTCAACAATTAACAAGGTTTTATAGGCATTGAATTAAATATTTATTAATTTAAATTTCTACGGCTTTTTTTCTTTAGCCCAAGAACCAATATTTTATTTTTTTCATTTCTTAACCATTTCATAGGCCCCTGGAAAACCCGGAGGCCCTAGATACTGGTCCCCTAGTTTCTGATTGCTGAGAGGGCCCCACTTTCTCCCTTGCCTGGTCGCTCCTTCCCACTAGGAACTGAAATTTCTCCTTCCCAGATCCTGGGTTCCCCAGCAGGTGTCTGCTGCATCCCTCCCTGGGCTGGCTCGGACCAGGATGGTGGACTCCAGCCGTGGTCTTGCCTGCACTTTTCCCTCCATCCTGAACGTTCTGGTTCGGAATCTCTGGGTGGACTTTTTTTTTTGCTGAATAACCACCCTTTGCCTTGCCTGGCCCTGTCACACAGTCTCAGTGACACAGTGTCTCAGTCTCAGTGACACAGTCTCAGTGACAGAATCCGCCTCACGTGGGCAGAGACCATAGAGTCCCACAGACTTCCACGATTAGAAAGGCTCGGTGCTTGCTTTAATGCTCTGCTAGCACCAGCTTGAGGTTCCTAAAGGTTTTATCTCTGGACTAGAGTTTCATAAGCCAAGTTCGAAGAGACAGTGGAGTCTGCAGTGAGCAGAGGAGATACGCAGAAGGAAGGAAAAAGCTTTATATTTTTGTACTTTTTTTAAAAAAAAAATCCTCACCTGAGAACATGTTCATTGACTTTTAGAGAGAGGGGAAGGGAGAGAAGGAGAGAAAGAGAGAGGGAAAGAGAAAGAAAGAAAGGTCAATGTGAGAGAGAAACATCTATTGGCTACTTTCTGAACCTGCCAGCTAGGTGTGTGCCCTGACCAGGCATGGAACTTGCGACTCGCTCCAACCCATTGAGCCACACTGTCCAGGGCTATTCTCCCCATGTTACCCTCTGGTAGGGACATCAGATAAGATACAGGATGCCAAGTTAAATCTGAATTTCTGATAAACGACAAATATGAAATATGTTTTAGCTCAGCGTGTCCCAAATATTGCACAGAACACACTTAACATGAAAAAAACGATTTGTTGTTTATCGGAAATGCAAATTTAACCACGCATACTGTTTTAATTTTTGGCTAAATCTAGCAATTGTACCCTTTGGTCTTTTTATAGAAGGCCGGGAGAGCAAAGCTCTTGACCTGGAGCACTGGTTCTCAGAGCGATCCCAGCAACACGTAGTTCAGGACACAAAGTCTCAGACCACCCCGACTTCCAGAGCCGGAACCTCTGAGGGTGCTGGCTCCCTGTGTTTCCACATCACTCCTGTGATTCTGTTGGGAGCTGCGGTTTGAGGGCCATTGGCCTAGAAGAGAATGATGCTGATGGTGGGAGATTCTAGCTCCCTCTCCCCACCCCACCCCTAGACCCTTTCAAACAATTTGATCCGCTCCCTCCGGGCCCGAGACTCAGCTGTGCCATAAACGACATCAGGGGTGTTACAGAGTCTCCTTCCTTGGGTTTCTGTGGCTCCAGATAAGACGGCAGAGGCTTAGACGTGCAGAACGTCCCTTCTGCTCCGCCTCGGGCCTCTGCTCCGCCCGCCCCACCTGTTCCCGAGCCTGCGGTCGGCTGTGAACCAGAGAATCGATTCTTCCGGCGGGATCTGCCCGTCACGGCGGGGGGCGGGGCCTGGTGGCCGCCGGCCACGTGTGCGGGAGGGAAGCAGGAAGTGACTTCGGGAGCGGAGCCGGCGAGCGAGCGGCGGCGGGGCCCATGGCAGTGGAGTGGGGGCTGGAGAGGGCACCGGAGTGAGTCGGCTTTTCTCTCCTTCGGCGCCTTCGGGCGGGCTGGCGGCCCGGGGTCCCGTCAGGACCAGAGTGTGGGACTTGGAAGGGCCGCACGGAGTTTGGCAGGGAGCGCCCCCCGGGAGAGGAGGGGTTGGAGGGGACCGGGCGGCTTTGGCAGGTGGCGGAGAGGGAGCAGGGCCCCAGCCGCCCGTCCCAGGCGGGCTGGGGGTGCGGGCCTGCCCTGTCTCCCTTGGACGGTGGTTCTCCAAGGTCCTCTCCACGCAGCGCTTCGCTGTGGGCGCCGGGGACCCTGCAGCCCTGGGGGCGCCCGCGGCCGCCGGTCCAGCTGCTCTGTGTCCCCTCCCCCTGGCGGGGGCGGGGGTGGCGGGGGGTCAGCAGCACCTCGGGAACTTGACTGGGAATCCGGTTAAGATGCAGCAGGCCTGGGGTTGTGCATCTCCCACCAGTGCCCGGGTCAGCTGGTCCGCGGAACCCCTCCCTGAGCAGCGAGGCCCTGGAGAATGTTCCCACAGTCAGAGCAGCCCGCACCCCGCTCCCTTTTGTGGATTCCCCTGGGGGGTCGGGGCCTGTGCGTGCTGTTTCCACCTCTGCAGCTGCACCAGTATCTTGACGGTGACTCTTGGAAGCCGGGCAGCAGGTCTAAAGGAGAGAAGTGGAAGAAACCGTGGGTCAGCTATAGCAGAGTGCACGCTTGTGCACCGTGTTGGCATGTTTAAAGTTGGGGTTGCCAGAGAGTAACACCCCCTCAACACCCCCCCCCCTTGCAATCTAATCAAGGTTTATATATTAACATCCATATCCCGAGGAAGTGAGGGCCCCATTGCGGAAGCTACTTTTGAGGTGCCAAGGCTGACACCCCCTGTCCCCACAGTGCTGGTGTCCCCTACTGGGGAAACTCTTCGTTCTCTTGAGACTCTCAGGGGCCTTGCCAGCCCCTCACAGGGCAGGAGAATCACTTTCTAAGCTCCAGGTCTTGCAGAAGTTGGTCTAGTTTTAGACCAGTGCTGTCCACTGTAATGTGCATAACGATCCCCCCATGGGACTGGATAAAATGCAGATTCTGATTCTGATTCAGCAAGTGGGGGGGGGCTGAGATTCTGCATTTCTCACTAGGTCCCAAGGGGGGTCACCGCTGCTGGACCACCTTTTTTAAGACAGCAAAGGGAAGAAACTTTCCCAAGGGTGTTGGCTTGTGTGGCCAACGATAAAGGCTGCAACTGTCAGGGTGAGAAAAATGCAGCCTTGGTTTCTCCTTATGTGTCCCTTCTTATGTCTAGGGGTGCTCCGCTGTAAATGGACAGGAGTAGAAGAGTGTGTTCCCCTCCCACTACCCCCCAGGAACGCCCACGAGCTCCCCAAACCAAACCCACTTTGACTTTGGCCTTTTGGCAAATGCAAATGGTGTCCGCTTTTCTGTAGCTGTTAAAAGGCACATTCAATACTGGAAAAGAAGTTTGTTTTTTAATAACCTGTGGGAGCTGGAAGATCAGTGAGGAGCTGAATGAGCCCTTTGAGATGAGGCCCTGGGCCCCGATGTTTGTGTACCGGGCTTTTTAACAAGTGGAATTCTCCGCCCTGTAACTTTCCACAGCGAGAGTCCGATTCCCTGTCACCTCAGAGCTAGGATTTAAAACATGCTCAAGTCCAGAGGAGGCTCCCCGAGCAAAAACAGGAGGGGATGGTCCTTGCTTTTCATTCCTCGGTGGGCAGTGCTGTAACTTCAGCTTCAGCAGTTGACTGCGGGACATGTCACTTAGGGCTCCGTTTCCTTGTCCTTGCTGAGTGTCCTGTTGAGGTAAGCTTTTCCAAGGTGCCCGAAATAATTCAGCAAGCATTTTTTTGCCTGCCAGCGAGCCCTATGTACAGGGGTGCCAAATGTAAAAAAGCATCGTACCTGTTCTTACGCAACTAATGTGATAGGTGAAGGAGGGACGCCCACACAAAGGAGCAGCGAGGTTGTGCGCAGGGACGGGAGGGGAGAGGGATCGGAAAGCATGGAACCGAAGTTGGCGTTAGGTGGGCAACAGAGGATGCCCTGGATGTGAAGGCAAGGGGCTGGGAAAGAAGGCATTCTGGGAAGGAACCTTGTTGAGAGAGGCGTTGAGCAGGACCATGTGGGGCTTAGGCTCCATCTGTAATTCAGGTAAGCTGGTGCCCACACAGGGCACAGTGGTAATGGAGACACAGGCCTGAATTGTCAGCAGGCTATTTGAACGTCAGTCGATGGAGTATGCCCCTGGCAGGCCACAGGAACTTCCACAGGGAGCTCTTAAAGGTTGGATTAGGACTTAGGTGGATGAGTTTCAAGCGGAAACCTGAGCTAGTTACCTGTATTTGGAGAAGAGAGAATGGATGATTGGTAGGGGCAGTCAGATCCTCCCTTTCTCCAGGCTCAGTAATCCACATTCTCTGAGCTGCTTTCTCTGAAACTATTTCCCAGTGTTGTAACCTTTTTCACCGTGTCTTGTTCTCTGGTGTCACCCTCTGTGTCCCCACGTCTCTACTTCCAGAGTCAGATGATTTCACTGAGGGCTGGCATGGTGGGAAGTTGCATACACCAACCCAGGTGCAGGCCAGCTCAGGTGGAGGGGGTCCAAGTGCCTTAGAACATGTGTGTGTGTCGCTGAAAGGAACCGCAGGCACTGACCCTCTTTCGCTCCTCTGCACACAGCGGGATCCAGAATGCTCCAAGGCTACAGCAGTGTGTCCCAGGCCTTGCTGGGGACCTTCTTCACCTGGGGGATGACGGCGGCTGGGGCAGCTCTCGTGTTCATATTCTCTAGTGGGCAGGTGAGTTGTCTTGAGTAGGATCTGGAAGTTCGTGGGGACTCTCAGGCTCTGAACTGCCTCCACTGCGCACAGCAGGGTGGCAGGGTCTCCAGTGCCACTGTGCTCTCATTTGCACCCCCTTCTCCCTGCTAGGCCTGGAGAGCAGGTGTCTGCAGCCCCCGCAACACTTGCTTCTCCCCTCCACATTCCGAGGGAGCAGGGAGTGAGGAGCCCAGTAATTCAGCCTCCTGGAGTCCCCCTCTCTTACTACAAATCCAGGGCTCCTCATTCCCTCTCCCGCACCCTTTGGGATAAATACACTCAGACCCACCTCACCCTGGGCCTATAGACCCCATACCTGCCCACCCC